TTTGCAGTCAGATGGCAGTTCTGCCATTATTTGTAGTCAGATAGCACCCCTATCTTCAAGTCATTAACTTAAAAGTAAAATATTTTTATGTGTATTTATTTTAACTTTGCTTTGATTGTTTCTTTCAGCAGGTCCTTATATTTACACTGTGAGAAATTGTTTCATGTTTATTTTCTGCATCATGTAGATTATCATAGAGCTCTTTTAAATTAATCAGATATTCACCTTCCTTCTGAGCCAAGAGTCTTATCTTGCTATTTAAGTTTCTCCTCACATATGAAACTATTCTGTATGTCAAGACTCTCCTCCTGCCATGTACTCCACATCCTCCTTCAGACGGGCTACCTCTGTTATTCAAAATGTAGACTCAGAGCGAAAGTTTACAGTGGTATAACAACCTTTTCCAATTCATTCTGCATTCCTTTCTCATTAATTGTTAACTCTCTCTTTTTGTTTGTTTCGGTTTAGTTTTGCTTTTAAGAGTATAGAACATTAACCTAAGGCTTTTCATGAACTGTTCCAGATAGAGTACATTTACAAGATGTGACAGTTAAAGTTTGTTTAGATTTTCTTCTGAGTATATTGCTCCACACTCATCAACATGACCCTCACATGCCATTTTATTATCAGCCACTGGTCCTTCTGAGTTCCTTATGCAAATCTTCTCAAGTAAGTTGAGCAGGGCAAATCATCAACCTCTCTGAATACTGATCGCCAGCTTTTCTAACTTTCAGTGGATTGTAATCCCAATATTGACCTTTCCCTCTTACACTACTGGACCGTTTGGTCTAGTGTCTTTCATTCATATATTTGGCTGACTCAAGCAGACACAATATTTATGAGGTTTAAAATGAGGAAGCCAAAGTACCTGAATCAGCCTATGCACTGAGCAAGGAATGGGCAATTGTCCTATTCCTAAGGCACCTTTTGCTGTCTCCATTACTCACTGCTGCAGCCAGAATGAAGTTACACAATGTGGCTGAGCCAATCCAGCTGCTCAGGGCTGCTCAGACAAGACATCTTCCTCCCACATCTCTCTTCCCACATTCTTGGCCTCATCGTCCTGTGTCTCTCCTCACATACCAGATCTGCCAATTGTCTGATACCTCAAAAAGCCAATTTAACTACCTAGCCCACAAAAAGTTGTTTATTTACTTCCCTGTGTCAAGTCCATTTTTCAACCATTTAAAAAGTTGAATGGTGTGAGCACAAAGCCTGTTGAAAACCAGATTTGGCACATGGAAAGGGTATGGAGTCTGTGACTGGAGAAAGTAGTAAGACCTCCTCACTTTTAAAGACAGTGAGCCATCAGATGAGATTAAGTCCTTTCTTGTGAAGCCACTCTTAGAACAGGTTAAGCTGCCAAGCTACCTTACTGCTCAGCCAAGGGACGTCTTGCTCTTTCCCCATATTTCCAAGTTCTCTTTTGCTTCCTCTCTTTTTTCTCTTAGTATCCCTTCTTTATATCAGCTCTGGAAATCACACTGCCTGACTGAACTTTTCTGATCCTGAGGTAAATCAACTCATCTCAGCAATCAGCCAAAGCAGAATAAACAAAACTTTTTTGCTGGGTTCGAATTTGCATAGATTACATCAGTTTACAAGGAGATCAGATGAGATCCTGGAGACTGTTTAAGATAAGCACTGGAGCAGAGTGGTGGGTAAGAGAGGTGAGAAAGGGCAAGAGGGAGCGCAAGAACACCCATTCCTTGTTGCATTTAAGAAGTTATTTTGAAACTATACCCAAAGACTGATATGGTTAAAGCTGGGTTCTAAATCTGAATTAAAGATAGAGTTTAAAGAATTTCTGTGTTGCAGTATTTTTGCAGAGAAGAATAAAATACTCAGAATGATCTGCTTAGGAAGATGGCAAGTAATACACTAGCGCTTATAATTCCCTTTCCTTCTACTTTAAATACAAGAATGAATTGTTGACATGTCTTTTTGAAGATTTCAAAATCCGTACATATGTTTGTTTTTTTGGTTTTTTTTTTTCAAAAAATGAGTACTGCAAAACAGACCCTGAAATTCATTAATTACTTCTCCAAGAGGGAAGATACTGTGATGGAGAACAATTTGGTGAGCTTGTGGGTGAAAAATGTGATGCTACCAGCTAGCCACCTTTTAGCTTGAGTGGTTGTTGCTTTTTATGTCAACATGGCATGCTGGGAAGTTCCAGGGTCCTGGTCTAGAATGTTAGTACAATATTCCTGGAAGATCAGAGCTGCAGTTTAAAGAAAACTAAGGACATGTACATACAGATACAGATAATTTGAGGCACTTTAGAAGTTTAAGGACAAGATAACTGAACTGTTGTGTCAACACTGCCTACAAAGTTAACCTGTCTCTCTGCAAAGTTTTGCTACTATCCAGAAACTAGCTTATGTGCTAAGGAATGGAAATTCAAGCTCCTTCTTTTAATAAGAGCAATATCCACTCATTTTTATATGTGGTTTTGTATGTTTTTATATAAACTAAGTAGGTCTTTTTGCCCCTTATGTTACTTCTCTTTGCGTTCTACAGATTAATTGAATATTGGAAGAAAGTGCATGTAGTCATTCCTTTATAGTGTACTAAACATCCTTTGCTCTTGTTTTTAGGAAAGGGCTATGTTCCTCATGCTTAAGATTCTCTCCTTTATTACTCTGTAAGACTTTATCATACACTCACGTACTTTCTACCTGATTCTGGCTTGCCTAATTGTGAAAGTACATAGATTGAAAGGCCTCTTTTTTCCCCCTCAGTTGTGGGGAAAATGTCTGCTTATTATGCTGGAGTCTCTTTGCATAGCTACATGAATGCAACAAACATTTTGATTTACTTGTGTAGAGGGACCCATATTGCATATATTTGGTTGAAATTGATTTTGCATTTGCTAGAGGAAGAGGAACAATTTACATGGTATTTTAATTTTGAATAAAAATAAAATTGTGAGATGACTCTTCAGAAGTAATAAAAGCAGCTACAAATATCTTTGAGTTCCCATTTATTTGCATAATTAAAAGTGAATATTATTTTGTAGATAAAGCTATTTCATTTTAACTTCACAATATAAATAGTTTCTTGAATATTAATTATTCTCTAGGAAGTTCTACATTGATTTGATTTTTATGCCAAATATGCCTTGAACTTCTCTTAGGTACTGAAAAATTTTCCCAGTCCTTTGGATATAAGAAAATTCCATCTTTTTGCCACATATAACCTCATTCAAAGCAAAAACAAAGACTTCTATGGGCATAATGTGTGCTTAGCTTCATAATACTGAAACAAGACTATTTCAAACCTACCCTGGCATCAGGATAAGAAATCTGTAAGTTATTCTATTTAAGGTTCCCTAATTTTTTGTGTTATTTGAATGAATACGCAAATATTCAAGGCTTTTAAGAGGCTCCGATCCTTCTCTTTGTAGTTACAGTTCAGAGAACTCAGAGGCGTGGGACTGAACTGAAAATATGTGGGGTATTCCTAGAGCTGCCAGTAATAGGTAAACCATGAAACGGGCCTTTGCTTTGTTTTCTTCAGGAAAATTGAATTCTTGAACAAGGGAGGAAAGGGGAAATTTAGAAAAATACTTTTTTTTCAGATAAGCTCTTACTCTGTTAAGCTCCTATTTAATCATTGCCCCTGGCTGATAAAACAATTCCCTATTGTGTTGTACCTTTGGGCAGCCACATAAAGAATCTGCCCTGTGAGGGGAAAAAAAAAAAAAAAAAAAGAATTACTTACATCTAATATGTACCTGTTAAATTACTGCAGAAATGAGAGGGCTACGGTGTGCTAGGGCTGTGCACAGGACTTTCCACCTGCCCTGGGACCTTCACCTGCTGGCATCAGCCTTTTAGGCACAATGGCTCCTCTTTCCCCTGCTCTACTCCAGTTTGGGGAGGGGTTGGGTGGGAGTTTTTTCCGTCTGAAGCTCTACTCCAAATCTCTCATTCCCAGAGGGTTTCTGTGAACAGGAACCATGGTGTGCGTTCACTTCCCTTCTGGCAAAGCCAGTTTAAAATAATAACAAAAAAGGTCGTGAAACAGCTTAGTACAAATCCAGTCTTTCATGTTGCTGCCTCACTTGTTCTCTTCTAGGCCACATTTTCGAAGGTACATTTAGTCTATAAGGGCTTCCATGCAAATAGCTCGTTTACTTAAAAGTCCAGGGAGAGCAGAGGGGCCACAGCGGTCTTTTTCCCTTCATCTTCCCCGTACTCGTTCAACACCTTATGAAGAAGTACTGAGGTACTGAAAAGGCAGGTTATTATGCATTGAGAACTGGTGTGGCAACTGTAGCTCGCCCTTCATTAACGTGCGTTTAAGCTGAGCGACTTGACCTGAAGTGGCTGGAGCCTCCCGGGGAAAGTTTTCAGTGCTTTTGTGTGTGTGCGCGCCTTTACGGAGTTCCACACGGGAGCAAAACCCCCTCTTTCCCATTTGCTGCCTGCTGCCCTGAGGGTGACAAGGCTGAAAGTTTAGCAAGTTCTGTGCATAACTCCACATCACAGGAGCAAGAGCGTATTCCCCCCCTCCCCTTTCTTTTTCCTGCTTCTAAACACCTCCTTCAAGTTCGCAGCTGGGCAAGATTCCAAAGGTGCAGCAGCAGCAACAAGCTGGAGTTCAAAGTTAGCAGTAAATTGCACAACTTCCAGCTCATCGCTACGCTCGGTGACTATTAACAAGCTGGAAGGCGCTCAGGCAAAAAAATAGGGGAGAAGGGAACACCCTCGAATTGTTTGGGGATCGCTGATGTTATGCCGCTGGGATCATGGCTCCTTTTGGAAGGAATTTATTAAAAGCCCGGCATAAAAACAGGTAAAATGCGTGGGTATGCGGAGGAAAGGCAGGGCTCTATGGGATAAATTATTTTTTATACTTTTTGTTTGGTTCTGGGGGCAGGATGTGTTACCCGGACCGTGCCGTTCCCGGCAGCTGAACTCCGGGGCTCACCTGCGAGCTGCAGCCGGGCCGGGGGAACGGAGGGGAGCGGGCCGGCGTGTGCCAAGGGAAGGGGCTTTTCCCTTGCTCCCTTCCCCGGACCTGTCGTGCCCCTCTTCGCTCTGGCCCTTTTGACTAGTGGGCAATATTTTCCGTGAGCGGGAGGCAGCCCTTCCGGACTTGGAGCCTTCCCCGGCTGAACCGATGTGCCCCGCGCAGGGAAGGTGACGCTCGCTGGGGCCGGGAGAACCGGCTGCAAGCCCGACCTTCGCGTCCCGTAGGCGGCCAGGGGCAACCCGGAGCTCTTCCCCCGCCCCGGGACAAAACTCCCCGAGTTTCTCACGGGAGGGCCGGGCTCCGGGCCCCGCGCCTTAGCCCCGTTGCCCTGGGAGGTTGACCGGCAGCCTGCATTCCCGTCGGATCAAACCCGTCCCTTCTCTCGTCCGCTGGCTGTCAGCCTGGGAGGTAGGAGAGCATCGAGCTCTCAGCGTGGGGAGACGGAGCGGGAGGGAACGATTTTTGGGGTTTTTGTTTGTTTAGTCCAGGATGGACTTGTACTGTATATACTTTTCTTTTTTTTTTTTTTTTTTTTTTTTTTTTTTTTTTTTTTTTTTTTGCTTAGAAAAATTCTTCAGCGGGACTGCTGTGGTCCTTGTGTCAGCTACAGCGAAGTTTCTTTATGGGGACTTTGCCCCTTACGCTCTACATGCTTCCACATGCCCCACACGCGGGCTACAGAAAGGAGAAGGAGGGTTATGTAATCATGTTAGGCACTAGGGTGGTACTAGGTTTTTTTTAAGAGTGAATTTGCTTGGACCCTATGGAATGTACAGTGGCTGAGCCCATATAGCTTAAGCTGATCAGAAACAGATTACTGAAATTTTGCCTCACTGAGAAACTCTAAAATCACTTGTAATCCCATCCCCGTTTTGCCTAGTGCTCTTCACTGAAATTTAGTTTTTATTTAAAGGAATGCAGAGGATGATCTTTTCAATGGGGAATATAATTGAACTCTAAAGAGTCTTGTAAAACTGTCCCACTTCTCTTCCATGTTTGGCTTTTGGTTTTCACATTTGAAAGTTATTTGGGGGGCCTTGTATTTTCTCGGATTGTGTAAAAGTATTAAGTTAGCATATTGTGTAAAAATATTAAGTTAGCATAATGTTGAATATTACTTAGAAAGATTGAAATGGTCAATGTTTTAAAATTGGATACTATTTTAGAATTATTAATAATGTAGTTCATGGATTAAACAGCGTATTTTGGTAATGTGTCTGAAATGAGTAAAAATTTTATATAATTCTCATGGGGCCATTTTTTGTTTAGAAGATCAAGAAAGATGGACATGAACTTTTCTATTAAATTGCTTTCACACAGAGCTGGAAATTTATTGCTCTTAAATTGAAAGTTTTGTTCCTGCTATTACCTACCTGAATAAGGATTAAATCACAAAGCACATTTCCACTGTGTTCAATGGTGAAATTGTTTCTCTTTTGGGTATTTACAATGTCTTTGCACTAATTGCATCAATCTCATTATGTTTGCTGATGTGACATTTTGTTCCTCAGGAAAAGAAAGTCATAATCCAAAGCTTTAAATAGGCAATAAAAATTAAAATACCAAAAGAACCATTACTGGTTCATCTAGGACTTTCTATTCATTTTATCCTCACATCCCCATAAATAAATAAATGCCTCTAATGGCTGAGAGCTTTGTGGCAATAAGAAGGGGCTGTGTGACCAGAGAAGTGTAGGGGGAGAGGGTCAAGAACAAAACAAACTATATACTTCTTAAGATGTGTCATTATCTATTCAGATATTTAAATTTTTGCATATTTAATGTTAGCTTTGATAATGAATTCTGAGAATTAAACTTTGTTTATGCAGTTAGTAAAATTGTTTTGCAGCATGATTGAAGAGCTATGTAATAATTATTTCTCATTTTAATTGTATCTTGGTGAATTCATTGAAACCTTGAGAACTGGGCTTAAAATCCCTGTGTTTAGGCCAGTATCTGGAGAGTCAGAACTTGTGGCTCACTACTTTGTCTAACTACCTGAAAAGAAGGACCAAAAAGGGACATACACAAATGTATATCTTTAACCTGCTGCTGCTTTGTAAAATAAGCTTAGTGCTCATTCACATTTCTGGGAAACCGAGCTTTTTCCCTTTTCTCTGGAAGTTCTTCATGACCATTTGCTACATGAAAACATAACTCCTGAAAGTTATAAGATAAGCAAATGAGGAATAAAATCTATGTTTACATGAGGACATAAAGCTAAGTTGAGGTAACAAAGGTAGGTGGAAGGAGAGCCAGAAGGAAAATGAAGGCGTTACAGTCATTTGCTCAGATAACAAGATGACACCACTGTAATTAGTGCTTGTCTTGCAGCATCGCCCAGAGGTTCCAGATCAGGTCCATGTTTAATAGTAGGCTCTTCACATCCAGATTGTAAATTGTCAGTCTCTGCCCCTAAGACCTCAGAGTTTAAACAAAGAGGTTACACTGAGTCTGTGTCTAAGCAAGAGGCGAGGGACATTGTCCATTATGCCACAAGTCTTTAGAGAAAGAAACTGAGATTAAACCTCAGGAAGACAAAACCTGTGCTGAACTACTGTTAGTATTTGAAAGATCTTCAGTCAGTATTACTCTCTTGGGCTTCTGAAATGTCACTAGTACAGATACAGCACAAAGCCCCTGTAGCCAGGAGATCACTCAAGCCCTGGTTTGATTTCAGGGGAGTGGCCTCTAGGATTCTGACTCCAGCATATGTTTCTTGGCAAGAAGGACAATGATATCTTTTTCAAGAGCTATAAGTAGTTTTTACAGCATTCCTTGTCTTTCTGTGACAACCAGAAGTAATCACAGTCCCCAGAATGTTTATGTGCTTGTCACTATGTCCCCAGGAGAACAATACTTCCAAGACGCCCCACCCACTTACAAACCCAAATGTGCACAGCAGGGACAGGTTGTACCCTCTAAGGCAACAAAGGAAAAACGAAAGTTTCCTTCAGGACTAAGGCTCTGAAACATGAATAAACTCAAAGGGATTTTTTTTTTTTTTTTAATGCAGATCTCTTAAATTTGCTTTCCTGGAGAGTGAGAGGAATGCTCAGCTCACATCACACTTCAGAAGTGTAGTGAGAGCAGGAAGTGCTTAGCTGAAGGTGGAGGAAGAGAAAAGGCACTGAGTTCTTTGCTCAGAAAGTCTAGTATTAATCTAACACATTGCTCTACACAGAGACAAAACAGTTCCCTATCTAAATATGAGAAATACAGAACATAGATACTTGCAGTGTTTAGATACCAGGGTTTCACATTGTATTCGATTTCCTGATTGCTCAGCAGAACAGGAATTTATGCTGCACTTATTTTCAGTAGGATTAAGACTTCTCCACTGTTGGGTGCTAGATTTGATCACTTTTGAAAATGGGTTTTAGGTATATTTAAATATTTCATGGATATCTGGATATATGTCATAGTAGGAAAACTGACCTAATTGCTATTTCTTTCATCTAGACACTTCCTTGGGTTTTGCAAATAAGCCTTAGATTAAATTGTTGAATATCTACTGTTTCATTTGCGTTGTAGATGGGATACTGAAAGGGAGAGGGTACAGATGAGCCATCTTAATGCTGTAGGGCTGTCCTGTTATGTTCAACACCTCGAGAAATACATTTTGCCAGTGTAGTTCATGCTGGTCCTATGTTTACTACTAATGTTTGTACGGTCTGTTGGCTTGCAACAATTCTGAACCCAGAGTAGTGTTTCATGATTAAACAAATGTGTTACAAATCTGTTAATATTTAAATTTGTTTGCTGGTTTTGCTTTTCCTTCCTGTATTTTTTTCTATTTTTTACTGTTTGCTATTTTCCACTGTTTTCCACTTTTATTCACTGCCACAGTAGTTAATGTTTTTCTGTAGGAGGACTTACTTTGCCTACTCTTTAGTTCTGCCTTTCTTTAATCAGCTCATCTCTGGTTCAGAGGTAGAAAGAAAGACCATGTATCTTCATTCAATGTTATAGGTATAAGAGGGAGTTCTTCCTGGCCTGACAGTCAGAGGCCCCTCCCCAGCGAGAGACACATTCAATTATTCTCTCAGTTTATATATTACAGTGCAGGGTAGTGAGTTAAATTAGAGACTTCATCTATCTGATACTGGCTTAGTATTTCCATGATCCCTCCCTTTCTCCCTCCCTCCAGTAGTTTCTTATTGCATCTAGTTAGCACAGTGATTTGTGTATTGCTCTGAACATCTCTTCTTCTCTACCTGCGGTTGAGTATACTGCTGTACATTTTAAACCTTTATGAAGTAAAACTGAAAATGCTCAGCATTGAGGTTTGGACTGGTAAAGCCCTTGGAGATCAGCTGCTTGTCTGAATGAACTGTGTATGACCCACAATGTAAGTCTCATGAGATCATGTGAGATGTCTAATATTTCTCTTGGATGAGCACATCTGGATAAATGTCTATATGAAGCTATAAAGGTGCTTTCTGATACAAGACTACAAGGTATTTGGTATGTATGTTGGAGAGGGTAGATAAAAGTTTTACAATCAGTTAACCTGTGTTAAATTTTTAGATTGAAAATATGGTGCTTGTTTTGTAATGGCAGAATGAATTATTTTTACATATTTTTTTAAGTTTTCCCTGAGTGTGAGATGTATTAGTGAACTATCAAAGAAGTTGTTCCTTTTTGAGCCAGACTTCATACATTATAATTTATTTTCTGGTCTGCTTTGGAAGCTTTGTCTCAGGGGTCAAAATGGTTGCACAGATTTTCTAATAATCTTTGTACATATTTGTTCACTTCACTTTCAGGAAGAGCTTTATGTCTAGCAAAACACTAACCTTATTTCTAAAGAGTTAATTATCTACTATTCCAGGAGGGCAGGCAGCAATTTCATCCTGAAGGAGTAAATAAAACGAGTAATAGAAGTGTAATACTACACCATCTAAGAACATGACTTTGGTTAAGTTGAAGCTAATCTGAGACACTAATATAGTGTAGAGTCAGGCTGAGAGATACATTTCAGACAAAACTCCCATTTTGTTTAGATTAAAAGATTAAAGAGGAACATATTAAAAAGAGGAAAAATTTTGCTGGTTAGTTGTCATTTCCTATTTTACTGTTGAAAAACTAATATTGTGCATGAAGAAAGACACATTGCTAAATATGTAATTAATTCAGTAGACAGAAATAAAGTTTCCGAGTTGGGCATATTTAAAATTCTATTAACTTTAATGAAAGTCAGTGATAATCACAGAGTAGTACATCCTGATTTACCTATACTCAGAAAAAAGAGTTTTTGTTTGTTTTATATGAGTAATAATAGCAATTTAAAACTCTGGTCTGAAGCACTATTATTTGAAAACATTAACATCTCATATGCTGTGCAAGCCTTAATTAGTTCGTCCAGCTTCTATATTTAGTATGTTGGTAAATCCTTATTAATAGTG